CAGCCTTTGTGAACCACTTGATAAAGACAATGGTGATGATGTAGCTACATTTGCAACTGACTTATCTGGGAACTTTGCTGGTGTTGTTCAGTACAACAAAGATAACAGAGCATTTGAGGTAGGTATTATGAAATTTACAAAGACAGCAACTCTAATGCACCGATCAATTCGAAACTTCAGCATCCCCCAGGCAGGCGGGCGGGAAAACCCCAAGGCATTTGACCATCAATTGTAGACTACGAGTAGTCCCTCATTTCCCCTCAGGGGCAGTAGAGCGAGCGAAACGCGAGCGCGCGTGAAAATCAACCCTCACGAGAAAGGCGAGACGCAAGTGCCAAGTTTAACTTCATTTTACGATCCGGTGTCTGACAACGTAGATGCAGTCTTTTACAGTTAGATGGAGGAGTTAAAAGGTCAAGTTATCTTTTGTAAACGAATGGCTTGTTCGATAAGGACTTCGAAAGCTAGTATGTGTGCGTTTTCTGTTATCATGCCCCTATTTAATAAAACGTGTATTAATATCACCGGAAGATATAAGCCCAAATTACTTTTTTACGTCCGAAACATTCACTATACACTGATTATAGATTAATCCACACACCACAATAAATGTAAAGTTTGTTTTTCGAATTCACAATCTGCAAAATATTTCATCTTTGGGAGGGGCATTTGACCAATTCAGTGGGCTAATGTAATGGTAATTTGACCAGGCCTCACTTAAAAAGTTCAAATGACCTGGGCGTTGCGCGTGGAGATGTTGAAGTTTCGAATGTGATCGGCGCATTACTTTGAAAAATTTGTCTACTCACTAAGAGTCTGTTGATCAGACGACGTTTAAAATGGACCCACCCGATTAAGACACTGCAAGCACTCTCTTATTTTTTATTATTGTTTTTTCAAAGTTAGTAGAGTGACACACTTACCTGTTTACGAAGAACATTGTTTTAAGTTGTCCAAATGATAAAGACCTAAGAACGTGGTTTTGTTGAACCGCCGGTTTAATAAGCTGCCCTAAGGGTTAAAAAAGATCTGATGAGCATTAATCTAAAGCCACTCTTTTGCGTCAAATATAATTTGAGTGCGTGAGCAATTTCCTGTAAGATGTAACACTACCCAGTACCTTCACTTCGCCGCTAAATATTTTCCTAATGGCGCTTAATTTAGTTATTTTTACCAAATGCTAAATTTTGTATTTTTTGGAAAACCGCAGACTGCAAAAAAAAGAATTGAAAGAAATAATCGAAGAAAACCTCGAAACTGCAAATAGTACATGCACGTGTTTCAACCGAAAAACGAAACTGCCGTAAGAATGCGGATGGAAACAAAAGTGTGCTCTGACGAGCGTACAGATAAACGAACTGATAGATAGCGCTAACTTGTTTAAAAATCTTTTCTTGAATGGACCAATCAACAAAACTAGAGACGGAGGAAAATGTGACACCCGAAAAACCACTTTTCGTTTGATGTAAAACAAACAAACAAACAAACACCCAACGTTCTTAAAATAAATAACCGACAACCGTTAACCCTTTAAGTCCTAATAGTGACCAACAGTAATTTTCTCCTGAAAATGTCCATACATTGTCAAGAGATAAGGTTGTGAGAATATAAAAAATGATCATGAAAGAGAAAATGCCTTGATGTTTTATTAAATTCTCTCAACTAATTCTTCAAGGAAATGTATGGAGATCAGTTTGGAGAATTTGTATGTGGATACTGGGGCTTAAAGGGTTAAGTACACGTAGCCCATAAAACCCTGAATTTTGGACGTCGCAAACCCAGGATGGTCAGATTTTAAGGAAACTAAAATAGTGCTCTTGTTGTTGATGTTGTTGTCTTACATGTTGTCATTGTTGTTGTCTTATTTTCAAAGGGTGCAGTAGGAACAAATATAACAATCGATACTTTATGCGGTATCATGAATAACGAAGACATCGGAGACCCGTTGGCTCGTTATGCTAAAATCAACTCGCTGTTACTCCAAACATATGGATCCAAGTGTCTTGATTCAAGCTACAAGAACATGATAACAAGTTTACAAAATACGTCGTGGATCAGCAGTGCTTCTGAAGGAGGTAGAGGAGAAAATAATAATTATTAAATTAACAAACAGAAAACATAAATAAATAAAATCAATAGAAAAATCGAAACGGTGAAAGAGTTTTGGATAGTAACCATAAACCAGGTAGTTTACCGTAAATGATCTAATTAACGCCCTCTCTCAAATAAACGCCTCTTGTCTAATAAACGCCCCCTCTACATAACCTGAGATCAGGCCCAATTTTAGCGGTTCTCATACATTCCCTCTAACGGTTACCGCTAAAATTGGGCCTGATACAAACTCTCTCACGTTTGTACTCACTGCGGCCAGATTTTGGCCGTAACACTGATTGGCTGTTGGAACAATGCCTCAGGATCTGATTGGCTGTTGAAATCAACGGAAATTGGAACCGCTTATTCTTCGCGTGGTTGTTTTCTTTTCGTTTCGCCTTGCTCGCCGGAATGTAATTTTGAAAGCGAAACAAAAATAGAGTCTGATCTCCGCAGGTTACCTGTACAATGTCGAGTTTGTATTAGACGCCCCTTGTCTAATAGACACCGCCCATGACAGTTACTCCAGAATACTATGAATTACCAAAGAGTAGCAAAATCGTTCAATTTACATGTATTTAGTTTCTTGCTTGATTAACTGCAAGGGTTTGCGCGTTGCATCTTGTTCAATTTGAAGGTGAAGTTCAAAATATTGATAGACTAACGATGACAACACAGTGACCCTGAACGTAGATTCTGACATCCAAGTTAAGAATTGAAATCTCTAGACGGCCTAGACGTATCATTTGATGGACTATATATTCCACTATTTATAAACTCTTGATATTTTTCGCTGAAACATATTAGTTTTGTAGAGATTGTTACAAAAATGAAAATAAACGCCACCTGTCTATTAGAGCGATTTTCGTATGACCTTGAAAAATGGTTTCGGTAAGTTTTTCGTTATTTGTTTTATCAGCCAATGGACAAAAAGATCAAAACACGACCTCTTCGTTTTCCCGCCAAAGAAAACCCTAATATGGAGAAGGCATTGTTCGATTGGCCAATCGTGTTGCAGCATGACGTCAAAGCGCAGTATAAATTGATTTCTAGAAGTTATCGGGCATGAAGTTTTTTCTCTCGAGCGTTCGCTTAACCAAGCAAAAGCCACGCGCGTTTGTATCCGTTCGATAAAACAATCAAATCGCTCTGCTTCCGTTCGTTTTTGTTTCTGTTTTGTTCGCGCGTTTTCGTTTCAAGGTCATACGACAATCGCTCTAAACGCCCCGTCTTGGTCCCCTAAAATTAAATAAACGCCCCGGGCTCATTTAAATCATTTACGGTAGTCTTGTTCTAGCCCCTCTCTGGACGTTGCGTTACAGGTAGGTGGGGGGCAGAAGTGGATAAACAACAACAACGACCTTTGTTTTGCTCTTTATTTAAGTACACATTAACAATGCAGAGGAATTTCAAATTTTGTGCTTGCCGATTTAAAGCTGGTTTTCACTAGCGTATAAGCGTAAGCACAAGCACATGTGTCAGCAAGTGAAAACTGGGTCGACATAAGCATAAGCATAAGCACAAGAAAAACGGACAAGTTCGTTCTTCTTGTGCTTGTGCTTGTGCTTGTGCTTGTGCTTATGTCGTAGCTTTGACTAGTGAAAACGGGGTCGACATAAGCACAAGAGTAAGCACCAGGCCGTAGACCAATCATAGGTCAGTTTGACCCAGAACTTGTGCGAACATATAAAAAGCTAGCCTGCGAAAACATCCGCTTCTCCTCGCTATTCGTCGCCGGGGACGTTTCGCGCGGAGGAACGTCTGCGACTCAGCGACAGAAATTCCATACTGATGACGTAAAATCTGTCCGGGATCCGGTCAGAAGCGCTGATTGGTCAACGCAGTAGTTACATTGTTTTAGCTATTGTTTACGAATCACAGATAAAGGACAAAAGGCCACAAAGGTCAAATGTAAACGCGAAGAATCTCTAACAAAACAGTCAATATTTGTGGAACATAGTCTTCTCTAGAAGAAGTATTTGAGTTTTGCTGGAGCTTGTTGGCAGATAAACACAACACTTTACCAAAATCGACCAGAAGACACGTAAAACTGGACAAGATTTATATTTGAAACCCCATGACTACCGGATTTATCGTGTAAACATTGATTTGCGTCATCAGTATGGAATTTCTGCCGCTGAGTCGCAGACGTTCCTCCGCGCGAAACGGCCCAGCGGCGAAGAGCGAGGAGAAGCGGATGTTTTCGCAGGCTAATAAAAAGCAATATGGCGGACGCTTCGTCCGCCATCTTGTTTATCATCGGATTGAGGAGAGCTGGTATAGAAAATTAAGTCAAATAAACCGTTCTGCGCTTGTGCATGTCCTTATACTTATGCTTGTGCGCTACTGAAAGCCAGGCTTATTAGTGAGCACACTCGCACTAAAAAGTAGCACATGCCAGTCGCGTCAAGCGACGGTATTACCCTACTTTCATAAGAAAGGCTGTTGGATTTTAAACAAATCGCTTCTCTCCAGCGATGCAAAAAAGGCATATTAAGGTATTAAAAAGTCGCCATTGTTCGCAAAAAATAAAAGTAAACGTGAGAAGTTCGATGCAAGGTGTCTATTACAATCGAGAAACGTGTATTTGGGCTTGGGGAAGAAGTAGCAATCCTAGGTAAGTAAACAGTGTCACATAGTAATTTTCAAGGAGTTATAATAACTCCTCTAGTGGGATTAATTCAACTCCTTACAGTGAAGTTATTTTTTCGGAGTTATTTTAACTCCAAAAAGTAGTTTAAAGAACTCTCTTTCAGGAGTAAAAATCACCCCAGTTTTGGGTTATTAGTAATATTGAGGAGTTAAAGTAAGCGCCAAAAGGGGTTATCCTGTACCTAAAATTTTTACTCCATTTTTGGAGTTATAGTAACTCCTAAAAATTAATGTACAGTTATTGCAGAGTCAAATTTGGTGGCGTGTAGACTTCTTGGAGGCGATTTTGTTGGTGGCGAGGTGACCGTAAACCCTACCTCTAAATCATCATTGATTGATTTGTTTTCTTTTCTTTTCTTTTTTCCCCAGGTCGACAGTGGATGTATCAAACATGCACGGAGTTTGGGTTTTATCAAACGTCAGATTCTGCTAATCAGCCTTTTGGAAAGTTGTTCCCTTTAAAGTACGTAGTCAGTAAAACAAAGCCAGAGGCTTTCACAACAAAATTATTGATTAATTAACTTTTTTTAAAACTGGAATGAGTGTTTCTGGATTTTTTTCCAAAGGTTCTCTACTTCCGTCCTACAACCCTGGTCAAAACATTTTGGGACTCTTGAGGAAATTAGGCGTTAAGAGGCACTTTGTTTACTCATATTCTATCTCTTGAAAAAACTTGGGGATGTTGTTATGAAAGCCTATTTCTACTGTCCCCCTTCCCCGCAAGCAGTGTTGATTGTGTTGGAACAAAAACTGAATGCATAACGGAGGGGGGTGGGGGGAGCAAGAGACTTGACCCCGTTTGTAGTTCCAGTTCATTTGCGCAATTCTCTCACGAAACTCGAGCAGAAAACCGGTTAAGTGCGAATTCGTAACGGGTTTTGTTTGTTGTCTTGTTCTTTGGGGACTGAAACAGATAAGTAATAACACAGGGTTCGAACTTAACATTTTAGTCCACCAGAAAAGCTTTGCAGGCAAGAATTAGTAGCAAAATAAAAGATATAAAAAATTATTGTGAGTTCGAGCTAAAATGCGGCTGGAAAAACTTGTAGTCATTCTCCGCGCTTAAACAATGGAGTGCAAACTTGCAGTTAAAATGTGCAACAAAATGTTATCTTCCTTCTCAAATTGTTATTTGAAAAATGCTAACTCATAAATGCTTGCCAGAGGATATTCTTTTGACTCGCAAATTCTAAAAACCACTCGCTTTTAGCGAGTTTGGGGTCATCCTCGGTGTAAAAACCTGTGAAGTTCTTCTTTGTTTTCTAGCTATTATTTTCCTTGGCTCTATAGTGTTGACTTGGTAGTGGCTTCTTTGTATTAATAGTTTTACGTCACTCGTGAGTTTCACAGGTTTTTAAACCGAATATGATTCCGAGTCTGCGAGTTTTAATTTTGAGCCATGACGCATTACCTTGAATAAGTTCCGACTTAGCCTGTTCCCTCGTGCCAATTCGGGGAAAAATCCGAATTCGTGAGAGTGAGCCTGCTCACCGGCTAGTTTCGAGTTGAAAAGGTGCCTGTTCCGTTTCCACACTGCGGAATTTGCTATCCGACGACGCAATGGCAGCGAAAACTTCGCTAAAAAGTGAATTTACGGCCTTCCAGTCTTTGTCCCGATTATTGCCACCTGTTACGTTATCAAAAGTAGGCGAACCCCCCGCGTTGAAGTTGAATGCCAAGGATCTCTACCTAAGTGCCGAAAGAGAAATAAGATTTTGTCGTCACTTGTTTACGTCCTCCTTAAAATGTAAAATTATGCAATTTCACGTCGAAATCGTGCAAAAACGGCAAAGAAATATACAAAAAAGTGTAATGCGCGTCCAAAGTTGCCATTTTCCTTCCAAACCTATTGTTGTTGTTGTTGTTTTTTTTTTAACGTTCTCGTTGCGATCGAGTCGTCGGATTGTTAAGTCCCTACCTGTACGGAAAACTCGTCACAGATGGAAAGCCAGTTTTGGTTGGAGTTCTCGTCTCTGGTGTGACTTCAGCCATTTACTTGATACATTCTTGTCGTGGGCTTTGTTCTGTGTCTCGTGAAAATCTAGCTACCTTTGAAAAAGACTAATGCGGTGTATAAATTTAATCATAGGTTTTCTATTCAACAATGTATGGATATCTTCGGACCTCAGTTTAATGCAGCGAACATTCAACGCGGTATTGATCAAACAAACACCAACTATGGAGGATACGGAATAGCTTCAAGCAAGGTGACTCTTGTTAAGATTTAACTTACTCCTAGATCAAGTAATGGCGAGATTATTTGTGAAGGCTTTGATGTTACTATTCAGATGAAACCTCTTCAGCAGTACTTTCACATGGTACTATTATTTAGTATGTAGTTCTAACATTTGAGTCTGTGGATGAAATCCTATGGCGTCACCATTTAAATGAAACCTCTTCAGCAGTACTTTCACGTGGTACTATTGTCATTTGGGCGTCGCCCAAATAGAGTAATCGAGATGGCTTGTTTTGATCAAAGTTGCAATAGGCACGCAATACGTGCGAACTTAAAGAAGCCAAGTAAACAAACCAAGCGACGCGAATGTCTACTAAGCGATGTGTCACGACACAGCATTTCTCCTCGTTATGTACGTCCCACAGATAACAAACGGCAAACAAATTTGCAATAGAAAACAAAAGTATTGAAAAAACAAGGTAGACTCAGTGAAACAAACCATTTAAGAATTTAAATTTTTCCTTTGGAAAATAATTGTCCTCGCAGCACACAGCGTGAACGTTTTTTCTCTCGTACCATAGGTACCGGTCATTGCCCTTTTTCACTGTGCAGACTATTCATTGCCAGTAAAGACGTCCCGGCTCATGTAATCAGGCCCCTAGTTTTATTGCCAGATTTTACGTCCTCTCCCTTGACCTTACCGATTTTTCAAAGCCCTCCGGACATACACACAAATTTTCAGCCCCCCCCCTCTCCCTCAAAATCATACCCAGTTCTCTATATTAAATGAGCTTTTCCTCTCCATACAAATATTATCAAAAATAACCGAAAAACAATCCTGAACAGAAAGCCTAACAACGATTAAAAGTACAAGTATGTTTTCGACTATTGATAAGATCTTTTACAACCACCACTTCATTTCAACAGACTATAACTATACTATCCCTTCATAACCAAATCATCACTCCCACAACTACCTCATTGCAACACGCAAAATCACTTTTACCTTCCAAAAAAATTATTTTTTGTTACTTCATATTAAATTCTACGAGAACCCAGTTTCGCCCACGTCCAATATAACTCCACTCCTTCCACTTCACGCATCTCAACCAACCCCTAAAATATACAACACTACTGCACTACTCACACCTCCCTAGTACACTTAAAAAATTTCACACTCGCCTAGTGCATCGACACCTAAATATTCGCTCCCGTACCGTCTTGTTTAGTGTCTAGTTCTAACTTTTGAGTCTTTGGATGAAATCCGATGGTGTTACCATTCAATTGAAACCTCTTCAGCAGTACTTGCACATAGTACTATTTATTTAGTATGTGGTTCTAACTTTTGAGTCTGTGGATAAAATCCTGTGGTGTTACCATTCAAGCGAAACCTCTTTGGCAGAAATTTTGCACAGTGCCATATATTTTTAGGATTTTACAAAAAAGATTGTTTTTTGTGAAGTGTTACGTAGGCCAATATTAGGAGGAAAAGGGTTGGGATGGACTTGAATACAGGGTAATCTCTAATAACGACCGCCTCTCCAAAACGGCCTCGAGAAAGACTTCTTCTCTGCCCATAAAATTGCAAAAGAAAAAGAACTTGGTAATACCAAGCCATCTTGACGAGACGGGGCTGGTCAGTAACGCATACATCAAAGAAATATATTGCACTTTCCCCACATAACTGGTGTCATGGATTTTACACTCCTTACCTTCACAAAACAGCCAACCAAAAAACGGTCACTGCGTTGTAGGTGTCGAATGGGGTGGGTGGGGAGAAGGGCAAAAGGGAGGGAAATTTTGAGTTTCTTCTCTCCCCTCTTTTTATGCCTGCCACGCAGGCCGTCTCTGTCCCAATGAAACTGACTGTCGTAGAGAAGTTCAACTGTAAGCTGTTGTAAAATGGGTGCTCGAGGGGTGCATGTGGTTACAGTGTAGGCTATGTTCGCACTATACTGGATAGCTTTTTCGCTGGCACAAAACTCATACCGGATAGGGCTTCACAACGACGCAATGACGTGATTTCGGCGCGATGTCTGTGGCGGAGAGAAGCTGCGCCGCGTTGATCTCGAAAGTGGAGCGTCACATATCGGGTAGGTTTTGTGCCATACTTTAGTGCAATGTGAACACCTATTCGAACCGTGGCGCAAGTGTATAAGTAGGAGCGAAGACTGGAAGACACTGAAACGGAAGTAAATATTCAGGAGTGAGGACTAGTATTTAGTGCACCAAACTCTCTCTGCCAACCGCTCAGGCACGATGTTCGACGTGTGTAAACGACTTGTTGCAGTCCCAGGCCGTTGCTGTTCATATTATATATGTATACATATATAAACATACATTTATATAGTAAAGCAGATCAAGAAAAATTGGCCCCTTTACGGCTGATGTGGACCTATACTGGATAGCTTTTCGTGTCGGCACGAAAAGCTTTACGGTATAGACACAAAAAAGATACACCCGTTAGTAAATTTATATTTACTTCAAACAAATAAACTTGTAACCAGTGTAAAGTTGAGGCTGCGATCAACTAGTAACTTGACAGCGGAGAACAGCGGAGAACTTCAAGAAACACGTTACCTGGATGGGTCGACACCTGAGCCCGCAATAAGGTCATGTGATACTGGTCAGCGGATACCCTGTTTTGACAGCTGTCAATCGACCAGAGCATGGATGAGCAATATCAGGTTGCAGGCTCCCACTTTAGCTAGAAAGTTTGACGTTTCACATTGGTTGCCCTGTGGTGCGGGCGGACGTACGGTCATGTGATTACCAAAATTTCCTTGATAGATAGATTACCAAATTTTCTTGGGTATGGGGCTCTGCTATGAACTGTGGTTTCTACGGGACTAATTAAATTGTCCATGTTAAAGAGGTGTATGTAAGTAGATATTCGTGCGTAAGCCTGTGGCGCTTAAACCGAGACATCTTCTGTAAATTGATGGGAAATTACAGTACGAAAAGAGAAAACATTAAAGAATTGCCTTCTCTCGGTCTTGGGATTCGAAGATTGACTTTCCACTACTGCGCAGCTTTGAATTGATTCGCGAAGGATCTTTTGAAGATAAGTAGATTCACGGCTTGTTTATTCGACGATCCCGCTCTAAGGATTACTGACCTGTCCTGACGAAAAGTGCATCTCTTTGCTAGTAAATCGACCCGATTAATACGAACATCTACAGTGTTTGAGAAGTTTTCCTTAATTCTCAGTCCGTCTGCTTGAAAGGGAAGCTGAAACAAGGACTCGGACTATCCTAATATCCTTACGTTGTTTTCTGTCCAAAACTATTTGAAAGAGCGAAGGTGTTCGTTTAGTTTGTGTTTAGGTTCCAGTTAAGAACTTAAAACATTAAACATCTAGTTTGATTTTCTCGTTGTGATAAAAGGTTTGTCGGTGACGTTTTCACCTGGGGTAATGCGGACCCTTGCGCTTGTCTGTCTGCATTTATCGGGTTTTAAAATAAATAATTAAATGTATAAATAAATTCTTTTTCCTTAGTGTTTTACGCAACACATTTCTCGCCCTGTGGCAGAACACCAGTATTGTTAACATTGAAATTAACATGCTTGTTCATATTTCCTTGTCGCACTCTCTGTCCAGCTTCTCCTTCGCGTTCTTGCCCTGCTTCTATACTGACCACAGCGTTTGATGCTGATCTAGATCTGTTCAGCCTCGGCAATGTTCCCTGTTCTACAAATAAACTCAATGAACGCCACACGAAACTCTCTCAGTCTGGCTGCGTATATAAGAGGATTGAAAAAAGCGTTCAATAACGTCATTAACGTTGCCAAAAAGAAATATATGTAAAGCACGTCAAAAGACAGTTTACTTTGATACCTCACTAAGACAACTCTAAAAATCAGCAGGGATGTATAACACAATGTGAGCACTACAATGATGATAAACGTCACTTTGAAAGCCTTTTTATCTTTTTGAAATTGTTCCCTTGCTTCCACGGTCACTTGCTGAGCTGCAATTTGCTTTTCGTGTCGGCGGATTTCTCGGTAAACCGTAACATGGCAGAAGATTATAAAGGCGAGGCATAGACCCATGGTTGCATTGTTAAGCGGCAAAAATACAGATCTGTAAACGACAATACCAATGTGAACAATTATTGATAGTAGCCACGCTAAGACAGAGGCAACAAGAAAACGAGCTTCGGTAACGAGGCTAAAGTGCGCGAACGGGTGTCTCATGGCTACATACCGCTCTCCGCTAATCAAAGCCATGTTTATTAAAGAGGTAGAGACACTGACGACTGACATAGCCCTTGTAAGAGCTTGCAACACGCACGTTGCACTAGAAACGTCATCAAGTAAGACTGTTATAATCATTGCGATGAAGGAGGGCTGTACAAGGATGCCCACAACGAAGTCTGTTGAAGCTAGTAAGGCGAGTCCAATATTCGACTTGTGACTTCTCAGCCGTGATTTCATTTTGACGGCAATCATAACAAGCGCGTTCAAGGCAGCGGTGACAGGAAATGTAAGAATGTGGACGACAATGATAATAATAAGGAAAGTTTGAGTTATTGTCGAAGGTTGATGCAGTCTTCCTCCCATATCAACGTAGAACTCACAGCTAGAGGGGAAGAACTCGTTGCCTGAAAGGTTCGAATTCATCCTTTTAAATCTTTTTCTGGGCTTTTTGCTGTTCAGGTTACCGTTTCTTCTGTTAGTTTCGGAAATTGTCCCAGTTTGAAAAAATCGTTATTCGCTACAACAATGAGCCCATTACAGTCAAGCCTTGATGCCTGTAGCAAAAACAAATATCCTTGTGTCCGGATCACTGTGGCGTCTGTATTATATCAGCTATGCCCGTATGATTTATTGTTACTTCGGGACAAAGATAAGTCTCTGAGAGGCCAGTCAGTGTTATGGCGGACTGTTATAGGACTGTCTTTGATAAGAGGTTCAACTACACTTGATGTTTCCAAGTTCGTTTTTTCTAAAAAAAAGAGGGAAAAGAGAAAAGGAAAGAAAGCCCCATTAGAAAAAATTCAATGACATGAAAACTGGTAAGTTATTGCTAATAAAGAAAACTTGTAATACAAGTTACTTTGTAACTTTTCTTCTGAGTTATTTTTTGTATTATTCAGTGTTTACCGCCATTTTTGCACGAGCGCATAGCGAACGGATCGTCCCAGACAGTTTAAATTCACTGTGAAAAACTTATTAAAATTTCATGAAGAAACTACATAGAAATTCAAATTAAATGAAAGTGCTTTAAAGTGCCCATCACCTAAAATTTTATATTTTCTTATTTTCTTAATAAGGTGTAGTTTCAGATAAAACAATAAAAAATTTTAGGTGATGGGCACTTTAAATTTGAAGTTTTTCTATGGTTTTATTATTATGTGATAAGTTTTTGTATTATTAAACCGACGAACCGATCTAGATGCAAGATTTTTTTAGCTGTTAAAAAACTTTTTGTTCTCGCTTTAAACTGTATGAAACGGTTCTGGTCGTTGACTTACCTGGACATATTATATTTAGCATTCACTGGATGAGGCTGAGTATGATCTGAAAAATTATGCAGATCGAGAAGGGGTTTTCGGACTCACCGCCATTATATTTTCGAGTTATTGAAGTATAATGAGTGAAGTCGGTGCTCCGCGTTTACGTTTGCCTGTAACCAGATAAAATTACCTCTTTTTCTTGGTGAATAATTGAGGAAGAGACAAGGCGAAAACTTAACCAGCAAACTGTAGCTTCGAACGACATTAAGATAATTTTGTCTAGCGTAGATTAGAATTTGTCATAACAGTTGTGTGTGGTTTAATTTTTATTTTTCTATTATTATTTTTTGTGTGTGTGTGTGTGTTTGGGTATAATAATGAATGATAATGAGGTTAAACAAAGAAAAAACAAAATTAAACCAAAAACAAGACGCCTAAAGTCGTTTCCGTGGGATGCGTTGGTCTATGGAAGCATCATGGCGTTCTATCTAGGTTTAATAATGGAACAAAACAAAACAAAACATCCGCTTGCTTTATCCAGGGTCGAACCCAGGGTTACAAAGTTCGATAAAGTTCCAATGTTTTAATACAAGATGAAAGTTTAATATTCCAAGATGCTCTTGATACGGTTAAAAATTAATTGCAATGTGTTTCCAANTAAACCGACGAACCGATCTAGATGCAAGATTTTTTTAGCTGTTAAAAAACTTTTTGTTCTCGCTTTAAACTGTATGAAACGGTTCTGGTCGTTGACTTACCTGGACATATTATATTTAGCATTCACTGGATGAGGCTGAGTATGATCTGAAAAATTATGCAGATCGAGAAGGGGTTTTCGGACTCACCGCCATTATATTTTCGAGTTATTGAAGTATAATGAGTGAAGTCGGTGCTCCGCGTTTACGTTTGCCTGTAACCAGATAAAATTACCTCTTTTTCTTGGTGAATAATTGAGGAAGAGACAAGGCGAAAACTTAACCAGCAAACTGTAGCTTCGAACGACATTAAGATAATTTTGTCTAGCGTAGATTAGAATTTGTCATAACAGTTGTGTGTGGTTTAATTTTTATTTTTCTATTATTATTTTTTGTGTGTGTGTGTGTGTTTGGGTATAATAATGAATGATAATGAGGTTAAACAAAGAAAAAACAAAATTAAACCAAAAACAAGACGCCTAAAGTCGTTTCCGTGGGATGCGTTGGTCTATGGAAGCATCATGGCGTTCTATCTAGGTTTAATAATGGAACAAAACAAAACAAAACATCCGCTTGCTTTATCCAGGGTCGAACCCAGGGTTACAAAGTTCGATAAAGTTCCAATGTTTTAATACAAGATGAAAGTTTAATATTCCAAGATGCTCTTGATACGGTTAAAAATTAATTGCAATGTGTTTCCAAGGTCTCAAAGTTAACATAGTTCCAATGATTATCCCTGATTCCAAGGTATAATAAGTTTACTCATGTCCTGATCCGTGTCCAATCCAGAAGTCCAATCCACACCGAAAGCGAGTCGACGATCGACGAGGACAATATTTTCGCGATTTCAACGCCAATCGTCAAGGGTACGAGTTGAAATTTACGCGATTTAACCTCCCATCGTCAAGGTGTTTTCGATAAGAAAAGAAAAAAAACTGAACTCTAGCTGTGCTCGGCAAAAACTGGAGAACTCCCAGGAACTCCGAATAGAAAAATCTATCGGAAATCACGGCCCGCAACCAGACGCTACTAAAACCTTATGAAAAAGCTAGACCTAAACAAAAAAGAATCATGAAGGAAAGAAATAATTTGGCTTAGGTCGCCTTTCGTGACTTGCCAGTATCCCGAAGGATTTCGCTGGTTAACAAGCCATCCTAAACCACGAGTGGGAAAACTCAAGCGCGACAAATTTGTCACGGAACGTTCTGAAGAGGAAGCAAATCGATTAAAAATCGATACAAATTTTGTACAATCTGATTGGTCGGCTTGGAAGAAGAGATAATCGATAAAGATTTTACGCAATCCTATTGGCTGGCTTTGCAATTTTGGGTACAACCGAACCGGATTTTTACCGTGGGAGTGCCACAGGCATTCCACGGAATAACTGAACCGTAAAACGTGAATTAATTATTCACCAAGAAAATGAAGTGATTGTATAGGCGGATTCATTGATTTTGCTCATTAGCATACGAGTTAACCCATAGAAGACGTGGCAGTATATACAAATTAGGTTCAAAAATTGGAAGAGCTGGTTAATTTGAGTATTTTTTGCAAGTTTCAGTTCTTTGCAGTCAACTAAGAAAATAGCAGCAATCAAAAACTGCGGAACTGCTGGGTGCCAAAACGTTAATGAGTTCATACATTTTTTGTAAATTTCTCCGAACATTTTCGGCATATCGGGCTCAAATTTTCAGAGATAACAGAAATTGTTATGCTCTTTCAATATTAAGAGACTTTGTTTTATTAGTCTCATCAGATAATGATAAGCATATGCTAATAAGGCGTTTCCCCGCAAATTTTGGGGGTAAGATAATTTTTATGTGCTCTGTCAATTTTTGGCATCAGAAAGATTCCAACTCATTGCTTAAAGAAATCATTGGTCACGTGACCTCTTAGTGCAAGTAGCCTATTCGCCCATATCTTTAAAGGCAAACGTAAAAGCGGAGCTCCAACTTCACTCAAGAAAAACCAATATTAAAAATACATGAAGTTTAACTCATGAAAAGAAATGAGTGATTTCGCGGAATTCTTGTTACTGCGCAGGCTGGTTCAAACAAATCAAGGGGACTGTATCTTTCGATGTAACAACGCGATTTAATCCAATCGCACAATCTATTGCGATGTACAATTCTCACTCATTCAACGATGAAGACAAGAACTAGAGCTATAGAACGTCCCTAATACATTCTGAGTGTACAGAGGTTTTTCTACTGTCCTTATAGTATTTTTACATTAATCACATGTACAGTAAATTTCCTCTATAATGTATCTACATTAAGTTGCTATTACAGAATCGCACATTCTTTCACCTTATTTATCTTAAGTGAATAAATGCAGTTGCATCATTTTATATTGTAAATTTACTTGGACTTTGTCCACATGATTGTGAAATCCTATGTCACGAAATCTATATTGTTTGCGCTACAAATATCAATTTCTAATAAATATTTAATGACAAAATAATCAAGTTAAGCATCACATATTTCTTTCCCGACAAGCGAAGAGAACTCGCAGATAATTTGAACCTCTAATGTTAAATTAGTGTAATTTTATTACATATTTTTGGTTATCGAAGATTGCGCAAAAAATGAACTTGAAAGTCAANCAAATTTTGGGGGTAAGATAATTTTTATGTGCTCTGTCAATTTTTGGCATCAGAAAGATTCCAACTCATTGCTTAAAGAAATCATTGGTCACGTGACCTCTTAGTGCAAGTAGCCTATTCGCCCATATCTTTAAAGGCAAACGTAAAAGCGGAGCTCCAACTTCACTCAAGAAAAACCAATATTAAAAATACATGAAGTTTAACTCATGAAAAGAAATGAGTGATTTCGCGGAATTCTTGTTACTGCGCAGGCTGGTTCAAACAAATCAAGGGGACTGTATCTTTCGATGTAACAACGCGATTTAATCCAATCGCACAATCTATTGCGATGTACAATTCTCACTCATTCAACGATGAAGACAAGAACTAGAGCTATAGAACGTCCCTAATACATTCTGAGTGTACAGAGGTTTTTCTACTGTCCTTATAGTATTTTTACATTAATCACATGTACAGTAAATTTCCTCTATAATGTATCTACATTAAGTTGCTATTACAGAATCGCACATTCTTTCACCTTATTTATCTTAAGTGAATAAATGCAGTTGCATCATTTTATATTGTAAATTTACTTGGACTTTGTCCACATGATTGTGAAATCCTATGTCACGAAATCTATATTGTTTGCGCTACAAATATCAATTTCTAATAAATATTTAATGACAAAATAATCAAGTTAAGCATCACATATTTCTTTCCCGACAAGCGAAGAGAACTCGCAGATAATTTGAACCTCTAATGTTAAATTAGTGTAATTTTATTACATATTTTTGGTTATCGAAGATTGCGCAAAAAATGAACTTGAAAGTCAAAATGGGAAAAAAATTTTTCCGATAAGTGGAGGGAAAAGAGCCATGTTATAAT